TTCTCCTAGAAGGTCTTTGGAACTCAGCTGAGAATCCATCTGGTCTGGGGCCTTTCTTATTGGAAGACTTTTTATTAATGCTTCTATATTTTGCTGGTTATTGTCTTAGATTTTCTATTTCCTCATTATTCAATTTTGTCAGCTTGTATGTGTCTAGAAATGTATCAATTTCTTCTAGGTTTTCCAATTTATTGGACAATAAGTTTTCAAAATAATCCTCAATGACTCTTGATTCTGTGATGTCTGTGGAGATTTCTTATTTTTTATCTCTAATTTTACTAACTTTGATCTTTTCTTTTTTGTTTTTGATTAGTTTGGCTAAGGTTTTATCAATCTTGTTTATCTTTTTAAAGAACCAACTTTTTATTTCATTATTCCCTTATATTTTTTTTTATTCTCAAATTCTTTGATTTTGTCTCTGATCTTAATTATTCCCTTCCTTCTACTGGTTTTGGAATTGATTTTTTCAAGACCCTTGAGACGTATCATTAAATTATTTAGATCTTTCTGATTTTCTTATGTAGGCATTCATAGTTGCAAACTTTCCTCTTAGATCTGCCTTCAAAGTGTTCCAGAGGTTTTGATATGTTGTATCACTATTCTTATTTAATTTTAGGAATTTTAAAATTTCTTCCCTGATTTATTCATCATCCAAAAGTATATTAAGTATATTGTTCAATCTTCATGGTTTATATAGTTTTTGTATTTTTTTTTGTGTGTTAATATCTAATTTCCTTCTAGTATGATTGGATAAGATGCAAAGAATTAAATATATATATTTATATGTATCTAGGTATAATTATATATATGTGTGTATATATATATATATTTATATATATATAATATTTTGTGTGTGTGTATATATATATATATATATATATATTTGCTAACAGTTGCTTTGAGACCTAAAATATGATCTACTTTGAAAATGGTTGCATGAAGTGCTGAGAAGAAAGTGTATTTGGCTCTTGATGGATGATATAGTGTGTAGATGTCTTTTAAATCCATTTGATTTATTATACTTTTCAGGTCTTGAGTCCTTACTGAGTTTCTGTCTGGATGACCTGTCTATTTGTGAGAGGGGTGTGTTGAGATCACCCAGTATGACTGTCCTGGGTGCTGAGCCATTAGTCTGAGTAGTGTCTGTGGTGTAATTAGGTGCACCAACGTAGGAGGAATCGACGATTACTGTTGTTGTATCTTCTTGTTATATTGTCCCTGTTTCAGTCAGCTTTTTTTGTTGCTGTGACCAAAAGACCTGACAAGAACAATTAGAGAGGAGAGGTCTATTTCACGGTTTCAGAGGTTTCAGTCCACAGAAGGCGGACTCCATGCCCCAGGGCTTGAGGTGAGGCATCTTTCCTCATGATGGAGGAGTGTGGAGGAGGAAAGAGACTCAGGACATCCCAAAAGGGAAGCAGAGAGAGTTAAACTCGAGGTGCACCCCAGGACCCACCCCTCCCCACACCCGCCTGCCTGCAGTTGCCACCAGCTAATCCCTGCAGGAGATGAGGGCACTGTGAGGCTAGGGCTCTCATACCCAGTGGTTCACCTCTAAGCCTTCTTGCGTTGTCTCACACAGGAGCTCTGGGGGACACCCCATGCCTCAACCACAGCAGTTCCCTCACTGGTATGCTGTGTTCTGAGTGTGGACAGCTTGGAGCCAGGAGCACTGTCTCTTGGCCAGGCTGAGCTGGGCAGCCCCCCACCCCGACCCCCGGTGAACTTGCAGTGTCCCGTAGATTCCCAGCTCCTCACTGAGGGGGAAACAGACCATCACAACAGCCAGAGCCAACACTATTCAGCATTGAAATAAATACCCAGTGCCTCCCATGACCTCTGCAGCACTAGTCACCACAAGCCAGGATGTGGGCTCAGCAGTCACCATCAGCAAGAACAATGGCTGCTCTTGGCTGTGACACCTGGTGGTTCTCGTGAGTCCCCCCAGGACGTTGTCATGACATAGCTGTAGAACTCGTGGGACTGGATGAGGAAGGAAGTTTCCAGCCACAGGGATGCTGGAGCCCGGGTGCCACAGCCCGCGGGAGGGAGCTGGCGTGTCCACGGGAGAGGTTGGGTCTGGAGTGGTCTTGGGTGCCCTGACCCAGGCCAGGAACATGACCTGCAGGATGCAAAGTACTTCCAAGGTGTCCATGAACAAGGAAAGTCCTAAGAAGATTAATTTCCAATTGCTTTTTCAAAATAAATATCATCTTGGGTATCTAAGTTTGGGATACACACAGAGTCACATTGTTACTATGAGGAGGCAAATTCACATGCTCTTCATCTCAAGTGGTTAAGGGCTTTGTTTTCTGACAAGCACAGCTGAATTCTCCCGCTAGCATGACTCCCACATGCAGTGCCACTTTACGGCTCCAGGCCTGGGGCTATCCCCAAACTGGTCCATCTCACCCTCTGCCCGCAGGGCCCTCTAGCCTACATCTCCCGTCTCCCATACCCCTGCCTCCTGGGAACCTGTTTGGTTCATTTTCTCTGCATTTGGCTTGCTCATCTGGACCTCCACATGGAGACCCCATGGTGGCTTCCTCTCTGTGTCTGGCTGACCCCATTTGGCATCGTGTCCTCCAGGTCCACCCTGTGGTGTCCATCAAAGCCATGTCTTTCTGAAGCTAACTGGTGTCCCATGGGCAGCAGCCCATCAGGGCCAGGGGTCATGTGGTGACTGGGCACCTGGTATAGGGGTGTGGGTGCTCATGGAGCAGACTTCAGAGGCCAGATCCAGTCCACCTCTGCCTGAGGATACGGCCTCCGCACACCATCTGGGCTTCTGTCCCTCCGCATCGCCTCGGCACTGTCATAGCTAATTCAAATACATCATGTCTTTGATGTTTTTATGCCCCCTCTTCCCCTCAGATTATCTCTGAAAATGTTAAAATCTTTATTTGTACCAATTTCTGAAAATTCCCACTCTTTCATCATAGAGAAGAACGGGGACCTCGATGGCCTCCCTCTTCTTCCACAGTGGACTCCTCTTCTTCACACCATCTCCTCCCGTAGTTTCTATTTCCCACGGTCAACCAGGCCCTGGTTGACCCCAGATATGAGTGTTTGTCTAGACTGCTTAAAGAGAGAGCCCTCTCGTGCAACTTTCATTGCAGCTGTTGTTACAGTCGTCTTAATTTATTCCTGGCTGTCGTCACTAACCTCTTACTGTTCCTGATTGACTAGACTGAATTTTACCCCGTGTGTCCAGGGCTCCACATGGAGCACTCTCTGAGTCCCAGGCGCCCACACATTCAGTTTCTGCACGAGAGCTTTTATTTCCTCAGTTTCTTTCTGCTTTTCCTTCTGCCGTGATATTTTCTTGGCATGTTATTTTTCCATGTGTGCGCACACACACACACACACACACACAAACACACACTCCCATATCAGTTATCGTATCTTACCTTCTTAGAACTTATACTCTAGGAACATTGTAAAAAGACATGGCACTTATCACAAAGGGTGCTTATAACAAAAGAGCGTGTAGCCCAGCAAAGAGGAAGAGATGTGAACGCACAATTAGACTAGAATAAGATAATTAGAAAGCAAAGCAAATGGCATTTTCAAGAAGAAAGAGGTAATCATGGAGAATTTGAGATTTGCTGCTATAGATGGTATTAGAAAACTTTTTATTCCATTATGTAAGCTCGATCCAAATCCTTGACAGAAGGAGGGTTTGTAAAAGAGGGCTCAGATAATTAAAGCCATCAAGCTACTTCTGTAAGCACATATTTTTTTGGTGTGTGAAATGAAATGCGTTTAATTTGAAATATGCAGTGATATTCTAATGAAGTACAGACTGATGAAGGCTTCTCAGGGGCACCAGTCTTACCTGAAGTTCTAAAGGCACCCTGGCTAGAGAAAGACCTTGTTTATGTCACCAGGTAAAACATTTGAAGACCCACTTACCTTTACAGTAATTATTTTGCCTAAAATACACCTAAGAGAAATAAGCCCAAGAATTACCTTTAAATCACCAAATTTTTCATCTCATCTTTTAACTGTCAGTTTTACTGTTGTAATAAGGCCCCGAGGCCTGTTTGTGCAAGAAGTGGCAAATGACCAGGGGAGGACCCGCCGAGATTGCTGGAGCACTTTGGGTGCAATGGCGCAGTTACAGCACGTGTGAATAGAATTTAAGTGCAAGACATTTATCACGACTCCTCGCGATGAACAAGGCGTCCGTGGCCGAGGCAGGCCCAGGCAGCCCAGTTGTGCTTATCGTGGCTGTGACGTGTGAGCTGAGGAAGCTCCATTTCTAAGGAAGTGGTCTTGGTTTCTAAGTTGTGAAATCCATTTAAATCTTATTGTTCTCTTCACAAAAAGGTCACAGACCCTGAGGTCTGCCTGGTGGCACTGTCCTGCTGGGCCAGCGCCATGGTTGCTGCTTCTTTGTTCCTCGGCCCTCTCTGCAGAAGCTCACCTTCTAGGCTTTCTCCTAGGAAAAGGGAGGATCGTCTCCTTCAGCACCTGGGAGACATTTTTCTAGACAGCAGTTAGCGTGCCTGAGGTGTTTCGGGTGCTCATAAAGCCAATGACACATGGCTGCATTGTGCGTGGGTTGCATAAGGATTACTAATGAGGGCATTGGATTTTCTGAAAATCAATGTGCTTTCCAGCTACACAACACCATTCCCACCCCCTCAAAGGTGCTGATGCAAAGTGAGAATTTTACATGCATGCACTGAGTCCCCAAAGCAGACTTTGATCAGCCCCAAAGACCATATACCCTTAGGTAAAAGAATTACTCTTCACCCCTGTGTGACTGCAAGGTTTCCACTGCATCTGTCCTGAGACGGTTGAATGTGTTTTCCATGTGGGATCTTTCCTTGTGACACTGTGCAGCAGAGCAATCCCAAGATGACACACTGGCGGTATCCACGGTGCACATGTGCTGTATGTCTCCCAGCGGGCTCTCCTCTCTTGAAGCAGGGCAGGTCTGAGCACCGAGGAAGCAGTGAAATTAACATGGGCTGGGTGTGTTTCTGTTCCAGCGGTGCCCTGCCCAAGCATCGAAGCTCAGCTCTCAGAACACGTCCTCTGGAGGCTGGTTTCGGGGTCATTGGACGAGTACGGGGCCCAGGTGCTGCTGAGCTGCAGCCCTGGCTACTACCTAGAGGGCCAGAGGCTGCTGCGATGCCAAGCTAATGGAACATGGAGCATAGGAGAAGAGAGGCCCAGCTGTAGAGGTGAGTGAGGCGGACAAGCCCAGGTGACCAGGTGACACGGGCATTCTGAATCAGTGGGGGGTCCACCAGCAAAGACCGCCACCTCACAGCCCCACAATTGACACAGGATACGAGGGCACAGAGGGCACTTTGATGATGAGTGGTGTTCACTTGGCATGCCCGAATACATCCCTGCTTCTTAAATGCCAAGTCGTGTGTTCCTTTTAGTGACTTTAGTTCAGAAAGTGTAAGATGTTAGAATACTCAAATATTTCATATCAGCTCAAAGACAAATAAAAGCCTGTTTCTAGTTGGTAACTATCACTCCACACACTATCATGCAGAAATTCTCACAAAGAACTTGGGAACACCACGTGCTCAGTGAGCCTTCTCCTGCCTTGAAATGGGAGATGATTCTTCTCTCAGGTACAAGATAAGCAGCTAAGGCCTTGAGCGAGTTTCATAATAAATATGAATAAATAGAAAATAAGACAATACTGGTATTGTTCAGAGCACCATTTGATTCAGATATCTTTAATATACGATCTTTAGTTGATTGTTCACAGGAAATTATCAAGCATAGAAACAAGTAGTCAAACCAGAGTGAAATTTATGAAATACACAGCTTAGTAAAAATAAACCACAATCCCAAAGAAAAAAAGATGAAAGAATGGATGCTTAGGCTCTTAGATCATGACTCCAATTTGACTTCTAATAGGACAAATTTTTAATTAAACCTGTGCAGCCGACTTCAGCAGGAGCACAGAGATGGTTAGAAGGACGCAGACGTTGGGGCTCAAGTTCACGGTCATGGTTGAGGCTGCTCTTCCCCAGGAAAGCCCCCAGGGCTGCTTTCCAGCATGGTTTTCCCGGCTCCCTGTGCCCCTCTGTCTCTGAGCCGGGGCCTGGTTTGGATGAGCGCTGACCTCGTCATGGAGTCTGCAGTGGGTTCCCCTGGATGGCCCAGGGACGTGCAGTCAGGGCCTGCTTCCCCAGGCCTGTGCCGGTCGCCCGCAAATGCCCACCTTGGGAGCTGGCTTGACAGGCGTCAGGCCTTCTAGGAGGCCTGAGGGAGGAGCATTGATGTTCTGGCCATGGCAGACGCGTGCAGCCAGTGAGGTTTCTGTGGGTTTCAGACCAGAAGTCGGACCGTGGAGACAGGGGCCTCCTGAGGTGCGTGATCACACAAGGGTCCCGTGGATGCAGTGGCCCAGCCCAGTGTGTCCTGCCTCCTGGTCCCCAGGGACGCCCGGCCAGCCTTGTGTCCCTGTCAGCACAGGGCAGAGTGGTGCTGGGTGGAGTTAGCTGTGCCCAGCCCTCGGTGCTCGGGGCACTAGTGACCATTCCAGAAGAATCACAGTGAGAGAAGAGCCTTCTGGGCAGGGGCGTTTTCACAGGCTCTCGGCCACCAGAGCCAGACCGTGGCAGCAGGTGAGCTCACTGCTGGCCTCTCCTGCCTCTGCCCTGATCCCCAGGCCATCGGCTTTCCTGTCTCCACGGGAACACACTGGCTCTGCTGGCTCCTAAGGAGCCTGTCCCGGGCAGAGACCGCACACCCACTTCCCTGCCCGTGTCCCGCTGCGTGGACACGTCCATCTTGCAGACTGTGGGCTGTTGTATCAGTGTTGTCATTTGGGTCCTTCAGGCATCACCATGGCTGAGTGGGCTTTCCATGATCAGTGAACCCAAATCACTGTTCGCCTCTGTGTCTCCACAAACGTCTGTGGTTCCAGTTGTCATAATGTGGCTCAGGGATGTCCTTTTTGCACAACCTCTTCATTTTGTCCCCTGTCAAAAAAGTCCTTGTTTAAAATCCTTGGTTTTTAAAAATCCTCTGGTTTAACTACTTGTTTCTATGCTTGTTTAAAATTCTTTAAAATCCTTGTTTTCTCGTGAAAATTAGATTTTTCTTTTCTTTTCTTTCTTTCTTTTATTGGTGCGTCCTGAGCTTCCTTACCCATCTCCAAGGTGCCTGGTGAAGGACGTCCCACAGACCCTGGAGCTTGGGGCTGTCAGGAGGGAGCGCTGACCAGGGCTTGAGTCACTCTTGGACTCAGCTGGACCCATCGCCTCCTTTACTCGGTTTTCCTGGCACTGCTGGGGTCAGCCGCGGGCCTCGCGGTGCCAGTAGGCACTCTACCTCTGAGCCACGTCTCCAACCTTATCTATTTTCTTTCCACGAGAGGATTGATACTGATGCTGTGAATTTATTTCTATTTCTAATTATTTCTTAAGTGTTAACCTCACAAAAGAGCTCGTCAGAGGTGTTCCTCTCTGAAGCACGGCAGTGCCGTGGTGGATATGGTGGTCTTAGCAGTGTGTCAATCCTGGTGCTCTCTGAATTACCAGCCTTTATTGGCCCCCCAGAGTCCCCTCTTTCTCAGAGCTTTGGAATTGTGGCCAGCACAGTGGCCTCAAGAACTGTGGTGCCCACAGGGGTGAGTGCGGTGAGAGCCTGTCCAGCCTTCGACAGCAACGGCCAGGGCCGTTCAAGTTCACGGTTGCTGCGTGGCCAGCTCCCACTAACTCAGAGGCTCAGTGCGACCCAGGTGTGTTGGGCCACAGATTCTAGCCTGGGGGTTCACTGTGTCCCATGTGGGTCCCCTGCTTGGGGCTTCCAAGGGCTGTGTCCATGTGCTGCCATCCGGGCCAGCTCCCTGCCACTGCCTGGGCGGCTGAGGCACCGGGGTGCACAGGGCTGGGGCTACTCTGGGCAAAAGGGCTTGTACCCTGTGCCAGCCCTCTCGGGCTGCTGGCTGTGGTTTCTCTTAGTGGTCTCTTGGCCACTCAAAGGGTCACTCACAGGGTCAGTCCCAGTTAGATAATCTCACTCTTGTTTAACTCAAAGTGAGCTAACTCAGGGCCTGGTAGTAGTTCTGCCTATACATCGAAAAATTCTAAATCCCTATTGATTGTTCAAAACAGCAATAAGTCAATTACATGCTAACATAAATGACACATTATTATAAACAGTACGGATTTATTTCCAAACAAAACAAAAAATAGTGAAAAGATTGTCTTTATTTTAGAAATTTGCCAATATCCTTGATGTCTGGCTGGATAGAAGCTGCTGGGTTCTCATTCCACCTCTTAGTCCACCATGTCATGTTGGTGGAGTTGTCCACCCACTGGGCGGGTGGACAGTGAGGTGCACACGGAGCCTGAAGAGCTATGGGGCCGGGAGGTCTTCAGTTGTATTTGGAGAACTGCTGTTCAGCGGAGCAGCGCAGAGCACAGGCTCAGGGTGTCTCGGGCACACACAGCCTCAGGCGGAGCCCTGGGAGGAACAGCAGGGACATTCTATCTAAACGTCCCTTCAGCATGGATGTTCAGGGTGCTGGGGTCACCATAGCTTTTCATAACCACATTTATCGCTTTTTTATTTCATAACCTCTTTAGAACCTAATGTTATTGGTCTTATTGTTCAGGATAAATATCCAATATTTGTCAATACCCTCAGAATGATAACCCTGCACATTTCAAATGTTCAGTTTAAAATATCAGAAAAACACACAGCCAGTATAATACTGAGAAGTACTAACCATCCTCAAGAGTTACCCAAAATATTAAGTGAAAAATGTTTTCAGAACTTCATGATGTTCGCACTACCTTGGGCTCTACAAGAAAAGAATCAATGCACACATGAGCTCCTTTACTCTGGAACGCCTCTGCGTCTGGTTCTGTACTTAAGCTCCCTGTCCCCTGTCCCCAGGGTCCCTAGCTTCGCCCGCCCACACTCAAGAGCACATGATTTGAACCCCAAGGGAGCAGACTCCACTCTTGCACGGGTGTGTGGAAAACTGCAAGTTCAAATGCTCCTTAAATAAAAGAGACTTAGTGACACCTTTCCATGACCCCACTGGCCAGCCTGTGGAGGCTCCTGCTCAGGAGAAACAGGAGGTGGCTCCCCACCTGTGATCAGGGCCAACAGAGGCTTCAAGTGCTCGGCCGTCCACCCCCCTGATGTGGCCGAGGAGCCCACCAACAGGCTGCCCGTGGCTTACCTCAGAACAGCCCTACCCCCAGTCTCAGGAATTTGGTTGCTCTCAGTTACCTGTTTGGTCAGGGGCTGGAAGGGTTAGAAGTTCCCATTCTGGGGTCCAGTTAGCCCTGATGCAGAGCTGACCCTGGGCCACCTACAGAGTGTGGCCATAGCAAATGGAGACCAGCTGAGAAGCTCTCCAGGATTTGGAGGATGGTGATGCTCCCCGTCCAGGTAGGAGTGAGACTCCTAGGTGTCCTTGGGAGAGCCCTAGGTCTCCACGGGTCAGCAGGACAAGGCCTTAGCTCTGGAGTCCTACTCCCCAAGGGCAGCAACAGGACTAGAGTCATGTCCAGGGGCCCCACAGGTCTCTGCAGGTCAAGTCTTAATGAAAGAGGGCAGCCACTTTTCCTCTTCTTGTTAAATTTCGTTGTTGCTCAGCCTATTGTTGGTACTTTAAAAGTAAGAAATATGTTTATTGCATAAATCCATGAAATTAGAAAAATTCTTTACATTTAGATTTTATACTCACACACAGATGGAAAAATCTAACTGGGAATTTTTAAAGTATGTGTATGCAAAGAACATTGGCTAAATTCTAGAATGTACCTCTTTCCTAACTGCTAATTTATAGGCTTCTTAAATCAGACCTTGGTCATGAAGGGAAGCAGGAAGCTGGTCTTTGTTGGCCTGTTTGTAAGTGGAGGTGCATCTGGACTGGTTGCTGGACATGAGGGAGCGTGTGCCCACCTACACCCTAGGGGGGCATTGCACTCCACTCAGGGCAGCTGAAGTTGAATGTTCTAGATACTTAGCATGAGCAAATCACAGCCCACGTGAAACAATTGTAGGGTCAACTGGAGCAGCCCATTTCCAGTCTAAGGACACTCTCCTTCAGTGAGCATCTTCTCCTGACTTACATCCAGTGACAGATTGTAGCTCCAGCCCTGTAGACCTCATAACACTGTCCAGGACCCTGGTCTACACAGCCTGCCTCTGAGCCCTTCCTGGGGGGGGGGTCCTGCCCCTTCATGCAGCGTGTTCCAGCCATCAGTGCTCATGGCCAGAGCACCTTCACCAGGCCTCGTCCAGCTTGAGAGAACCTACCCGTGGGCTCATTTATAAGTAATGTCCACATTATAGACAGGAGTGTTGACCTTGCAGGTGTGTGAAAAGCGTGTCACTGGGCAGTTATTTTAAAAGGACTGTTTCAGCGGGGACCCAGAGCAGAATTGGGGGAGAGAGAGAGGCTCATGACCCACAGTCAAGGTGTGCGACAGGCCAGGTGCCCCAGCTGTGGGCAGGACACTGTGGATGCCACAGCTGAGCGTCTTCCTGTGCAAAGGTTGGCCCCAGGAATCAGAGGAGCCCTTCGGATTGCAGCATGACCCACGTGTAATGGGAGGTGACGAAGCACACGTAGTGCATCCGTCTTGGAAACTCAGGGGACACTAGTGTGGAGGCCAGACCTCCTCCTGGCTGCTGGACAAAGGCTCCAGTCAGTGGGGAGGGAGGCCCTCTCCTGCTAGACTGGCTTTCCCAAACCCTCGCTGCTGCCTCGTTAACCCATTGGGTCTGCAGCCAAAGGAGACTGTGTGTCTGCAATCCCATTATCCAGCTGCCGAAAGCTCAGATTTGTTGCTTTAGTTCTTCACAATTGCTTAACCCTTACTAGAGGACCAACAGAATAGCCTTGTCCCCAGCATAGTGCCACTGAAGCTGGAGAACAGCCAGGATGTAGAAACCCAGGGGCCCCACCAGTCTCCGGGAACGGTGCGTGGCGGCCTCTGTCAGGGAAGGCTGCTGGGCCTCATTGCTATGTAACACATTCCCAGCAAGCACTCAACTCTCAGAACACGACCCAGTCACCCAACCGTCTACAAAGGGTCATTAAACATCACAGTTCAAGGAAAAGTTCCCATTGTGTTTGGGAAAAGGCTCAGAGAAAAGTCCCTGTAACAATCTAAATCCTCCTTGAGTCCAGGGACATTTGGCTCCGAGGATGAGTGCACTGCTGAGTGACAGGGAGCTTGCGAGTTCTGGGGCTGATCTCCCGGGTTCCAGGTGGGCAGTCCTGCAGGCCACACCTAAGCTGCTGGCTGTGTTCCCCTCTGAGACCAAGTGCTGGCCACATAGTGAAGTAAAAGCAGCCCAGCTAACAGGGTTGGCCTCAATGCCAGGCACCTGATGTTCGTCCTCACTTGACCGGCCGTAGTGTTCACCCTGACTCCATCCCTGAATGGTCCTGACTTGGGCTGTCCTGGTCTCTATCCCTCACTGAGTCTGGTCCTGTGTAAGACGGGCCTCATGCACCTGCACCTGTCTCCTCTCCGGGTCCTCTGTGCACCCTGTGTGGCAGATGCTGATGCCCATCTGTGCGAGGCAGAACCGGCCTGGGTGGTGGACACTTTGCCACCTCTGTCTGTTCACCGTGAGGAGGAATCCGGTTTCTGCCCCTGAAGCTTTCCTCTGTACGCCTCCTAACTCATCAGTGCCCGGGACCCTTCTCCCCAGTGGCTTTTGTGAGATTTTCATGCTAACCAGTTTAAAACGCCCGAGAGCCACTGAGGGTCAGTAGTCTTTGATAACTTGTGATTTCCTTCCTCCCCTGGGGTCTGTGATTTTTGTCTCGAGGGTTTGGATTTGAAGTGCAGAGATGCATGCAGTACCCTGAGGGCCTCCAATGTGGCTACTAATTCACCTCCTAAAATGGAGTGCTTTGGGGCACCCTGGACGTGCTGCCTCTGAGGACCAGGGCAGGCCTTTGGGGTTCACAGCCACCCCGCCCACAACCACAGAAGGACCAGCTAAGTGTCTGCCAGTCCTCAGGAAGGTGCTGTGGGCACTATGTAGTCAGCATTCACACGGTGCTCAGGACCCAGCAGTGACAGGGACCCGGAAGAGACGGTGCTGGCCGTGCTGGCCCGGTCAGTCCCAGGCTTCAGTGCCGTCCGCTTTCCCCCAGATGAACTCCTCTTCTCTGAGGAAGTCTAGCTACCGTGAGGCGGAAGTGAGATGACAACACTGAGGGTGACGGCTGGCATCTAGGACGTGGCATTTTCATTTTCAGGCTGAAGGAGGGAGAGGCTTCCCAGGTGACAGTCTGCGTGTCCTCCGTGAAGTCAACATCCGAGACTTTGGGCTGGCGTTGGGGCAGGGCAATGTGCAGACCTGAACAGTGTCCCTGTCTCTCTTCTAGTCATCTCCTGCGGAAGCCTGTCCTTCCCCCCCAACGGGAACAAGATCGGAACGCTGACGGCCTTCGGCGCCACGGCCATCTTCACGTGCAACACGGGCTACACGCTGGTGGGCTCCCACGTCCGGGAGTGCCTGGCCAACGGCCTCTGGAGTGGGTCCGAAACGCGGTGTCTGGGTAGGTTCCTCTGAGTTCTCCCACTGTTTGGTGACCCAGGTGGACGGGCTGGCACGGCTTCCTGCGCTAGGGCTCTGGAGGCACTGGGTCCTGGCGGGTCTCCAGGCTGCGTCACCCGAGGGCCTAACAGAGCATTGGAAGAGGCCAGGTTCTTAGTAGGAGTGATGAAGCATGGTCTCATGTCACCTTGCATGACATGAAGGTGACCTCACAGAGGCTGGGAGTGTGCCTGCACTCAGAGACCACCAGCCATGAGGTGAGGATACACAGACACAAGTTTTAAAGATACTCATGCAATTATCTTCTTAAAAGTATGTTGAGAAGTTGAAGTGACATTAATCTAGATTCATAAAAGCCCGGCGAATTATTTGAAACAGAGTGCGTGTAACAATCTTGGGTTTTTTTGGAAAGCTTTAAATATCATGCATGATAATTAATAAACGGGCTGTGGGTGTGTGAAAATGGTCGAGGCAGCTGTTGAGAGCACAGAGGTTCTTCACGGCAGCTCCCCAGGCCTGGGGGTCGGGCTCACACGGGCCCTCTGGAGCCCCTTGACCCTCACAGTCATGTGATCACTAAGCCTCGGCTGTGGTGGGCTTAAGCCCCCCCGGAGCTCGGATCACTTTAGGGTGGGCTGGAACCAGGGACCGGGAACAGTGAGGTCTGCTCTTCCTTTGAGTTGGGAGAATTTAAAGAAAGAGGACGAAGGCAGAGTAGGAACCCAGAGAAGAGCCGCCTCCAGACGTTCCTTCACTGCCCACAGAAGGACCACTGCAGTGCTGCAGGGAGCTGCTGAGTTCTCGGTGTGCCACGCACCCTCTGTGTTTCCAAGGTTTTTAACCCGGTACATGTGAGTAACATAACCTGTGTGACTAATGTCTTATTGGGGGAGTCCCTGAGGTCTTAGGAGACCGTGGGATGCCTTCAGTGCTTTGTGAAGTCACAGAGCTTCTGGGCTCTCCTGTGCTTTCCCGAATGCTCTGTCAAGGTGGGTGGCAGCTGAGCTGGTCTCTCCTTCAGGTGCTGTTGGTGTGTGTGGATGTGGTTATGAGGCAGGAGCTTAGAAGTATCCTTTAGAAATGGAAATTCTGAACCCCCAAACTTTTACTCGTACCTTTTATTAGGGCATAAAAATGATGCTCGTTGAAAGAGTGAAAACAATATTAAATGGCATATTCAAAGACTCAAACTTTTATGATAAATAAATACCTATGAAAGTAATGCTAACATAAAATGTAGAAAACCAATACCTCCAAATGTGCCTGATGAGGACAGAATTATTAATCACAGTGTGGAAGAACAACTCGGGTGTTTGGGGTTAGATCAGGCTGCATGTGCGAGAGCACACTCTGCTGGTCAGGCCCAGTCTGTCCACAGTACCTGCCCGGGTCCCTGTGCCATGGTGTAGTCCACATCCACCCGCTGTGTGTCTCAGAGCCGTGGGGTCCCCTGGGCCTCGGTGTTCCAGGGCCACGTTGTGATCCAGGTTCTGCAAAAGCTTAGTGGCTGCTGAGGATGAGTGAGCATCTCTGGTGAAGAATCGGGGCGCTGATGTTTGAGGGGTGCTTGGAAAAGCTTCTGATCATTAGTTTGAGAGTAAAGTTAGGAAACCAGTAGCTATTTTCAGATACTTAAAGTGCTGTGAGGTAAGAGAGGGAATAAGCCAGAGGTACCGTGAAGACCTGTGCTAAGATCTGCAGGTCATTCAGGGGTCAAAGGGTGGAAAAAGCAAAAGGAATTAACACACCTTCCCAGGCCAGGACTAGGGTCGGACAGACATCGGGACAGCAGTCGTCCTCATCAGTTCCTAACTGGCATCTCTGTGGACAGGAAAAGGTGGCTGCCTGACCCCAGGTGAGAGGCGCCTCCACACCTGGGCATTGTTCGCAGGGCAGCCTGCCCAGGGTGCAGGGTGGACGGTGTGCGGAAGGCAGCTGCCCCGTGGTGCTCTCTGCTGAGGGTCTGGGCACCCTGAGCTGTGCTGAGTCTGACTCTGTGTCCAGCGTGAGGGAGGAGACCTAGAAGCAGTTTCCAGGTTTGGGAGCGAGCTCTTCCCAAAGGAGGGAGTGTTCATTCTGGGAGGGCGCTTCTGTTCGCAGTGCAGGATGGGTCACACTCTGGAGCCCTGGTTGTGCTCAAGGATTTCCAGCAGGCGTGGGGGGATGGCCCAGACCCTTTGAACAGTGCAGCAGGAACAGCTAAGCCGTGATGGACAGTGCTGTTCAGGCTGAGTCCTGTGAGGCTAAGTGCAGGGGCGCTGTGTTTAGGGACAGGAAGGAGGGTTTTCGCGGCTCACATGCAGGTGCTGACTCCCTGCCGTGTTGGCAGTGTCTGGTGTCCACTCTGCCAGAGCCTCTGACCGAGGAGGGGTGTGTGTAAACAGCAGAGATGGGCTCAGGGCATGATCAGGGTTCTCCTTGCTGCACCTGACAGGCTTCTCCTGGGCCCAAGTCCCCAAGGACCTGTTCTCACTTACCACCCTGCAGATCTGGCCAGGCCGGGAGTCGAGCTCCAAGAAGCTGGCCCACGTCTGCTCCACCAGTGGGAAGCTTCATGGTCCCCATGGGCCCTCATTATCTTTCCTGTGGCAATTTGCACAAGTCCTGGCAGGAGGGCATGTGTGGAATCTGGGCGCCCTGTGGCCACAGTTCACAAACCCTTGACCATGTCTGTCGCTGGACTTTGCGTGGTGATGGCTGTCATGTCTGCCACTGTGTCACCTCTTTGATGTGCAGTTGGCAAGTTGTCTGTGAGAGCCGTCCCGGGCACAGAACATCATCTTCTTACCAGACAGCGTTGCTATTATTTAGAGGAGATTTGCATCCCCACACTGAGGTGACCATGAGCAGAGGCGTGTTATGGTAAATGTATCATGGTGACCCTCACATCCCTAAAATAGCTAGGTGACATGATTCAAAAGGACATTTCTGACATTTTTCATTGTTCTTGGAGAATAAAGTTGGAATGTATTTTTCAAAGGCCTTGTATTTTTTCAGATTTCCAAGTAAAAATGTTTTATAAAACAACTGATAATCATGATAATTGTATTACCTCAAAAAGATGGCATTAGAGTAGAAATATCAAACCTACCCCTTCTATTTTATACAATACACAACAGGGTAAAATATGTGCTGTGTGTCAGCAGAGTAGGGAAAATATTTGAAAAACCCAATGCCAACTTAGCCAGAGGGTAAGTAGTTAAAAAAAAAAAAAGAGTTTCCATCTATGCTTGTGTGCTTGTGAGTTTTACCTAATGGTATCCTTTTAGATCCTCAAGGGCTGTTGAGTAGCATGTGAAGATAAATGAGATGAGGTATTTCCTTCTATGGAATCTTTACGCAAGGGAAATACAAGTACCTTTAATACAAGTTGGGAATAATGAGTGTCAGGGGATGTGTGAAAGCAGCACTTCTGCAGAGGGAGGAGGTGAGAGACCCCGGGAGGAGGCTGGTGGAGGTGGGGGTGGTGAAGGCCCAGGGGAGGCACGGCAGAGGCCACCTGAATTACAGGTGGAACTTCAACACAGAGAAGAGAAACACGGTGATTCCAGGAGTCAGATCGCCCAGGCCCTGTGGTCACCGCGGGGATGCAGGGTTCTCAGTGGTGCAGGGTCTACTTGGTCTGCACAGAGCACACCTGGCACGGAACTCTCTGTGGCCAGGTGGTAAGTCCTGCCTGGACAATTGTGGAGAAGAACTCATGTGACATTGTGGCGAGGTCTGGTTCAGTGCTGTTGTTTGTGGCTGCTTTGTTTAGATATGAGGTATTTCCTGAAAGATCATGCTTGAGACAATGCAGGAGGGTTCAGAGGTAAAAGGATTAGATTATGGCAGTTGTGACCCAGCTGGTGAATTAATCCACTGATATGGGTTAACTGGGCAGTACTGCAGGCAGGTAGTACATAGCTGGAGGAGGCAGGTCGCTGGGGCAAGACTTTGGGGTCTGTTTTGTTCCCGATGAGCAGAGCTCTGTCTGCTTCCTGGTGGCCATGCCACTCTGCCCTGATGTTCTGCCTTTCCTTGGGCTCAGAGTTATGGAGTTGGCTGACCATGGACTGAACCATAAGCCAAAATAAACTTTTCCTCCTCCAAGTTGTCTAGCGAGGACTTGCGGTCACTGAGATGCAAAGCTGACATGAGGTTGTCCTTAGAGATCAGTCTGATGGTGGTGAGATATGTTAAGAACACTGCAATGCCATCTGCTGAATCCAGAGCAAGAGAACAGAAAGAAACATATCAGAAAAGCAGGGTATTTAAAATGGGTATTACAAAGACAGCTTCACCTAACAGAGAAAAATCTGACTTGGATCGATTCTTGTCCTCCTTATAGATGGGCAGCACTTCCTTTGGGTTTTTCCAGGTCTGCGTGCACAGGGTAGGTTGGGAAGGAGGGTCACGAGACACTTCACAGGCAGACAAGACTGGGAAGGAATTCAGCCGGATGGGCATTATTTACCAAATATTTAGGATCTACATAAAAGAATATGAACAGGCTAAAACTTTCTGACAGCCCAAAGACTGTCCATATCATGCTGGTACTGGCTTAAATGTCTCTTCATATCAAATCTGGCCTAAAATAATTGTGTGGCCCCAGGTTGTGTTAGACAGATGTTTTAGTCATCGTGTTCGCTACTTTAAGAGACCTGAAAAGAACAATTTTCGAGGGCGAAAAGTTTATTTGGAGGCTCAGGGTTTCAGAGGTCTCAGTCCATAGACAGCCTGCTCTACTCCTCAGGGCTCGAGGGGAGGCAGGACATCATGGTAGGATGCTGGGGGGAAGGGGCTCACCTGGTGATCAGGAAGCAGAGAGAGGGAGACTCCACGCACCAGCTACAAAATACAGACCCCAAAGCCACACCTGCAGGACCGCCTCCTCCAGGCACACCCCATGGATTCAGTCCCCTCCCAGTTAATCCCATCAGGGGGCTCAGATCATGATTGGTCAAGACTCTCACCACCCTGTCATTTCTCCTGTGGACCTTCTGTGTGAGACGGTGTACA